CTGCTGCTCTTGGCTGGACTCGGCTGGGCCCAGCCGACCCCCTCCTGCATGGCGTCCTCCAGCCCCTGGCACCTGCCTACAAGGTTAGAGTTTGGGGAGGGCAGACTGGGGGGCCGGTGGGGGGAAGAGGATCTTCCCTGTAGTGCTGCAGGTTCCAACACAGAGCCGGGTGTCCCCGACAGCACCCGGAGGACGCACTGAGCAAAGCTACTCCAGCTCTTTCCCCGCTCCCTCACAAGTGGATACCCCCAGGACCAGAAGCCCCCCCAGAGCCTAGGCTCGGCCTGCCCCCACCCCATTCCCGCAGTGGGAGCAAACTGCATGCCCAGAAACCCAGCGGACACACGCGGTTTGGTTTGCAGCGACTGGCGTGCTACGTGGATCTGACAGCGGTGTTTGTCATCTGAGCACTTTCTTTTTTCTATCTCACTGGAGCACAATAAATGGCTGTAAAGTCATCAGAGGCCTCGTGGATGCTCTGTCCCAGATATCCTGTCTCCTGCACACACTCACATGCCCCCTAAGACACATATATGGCCCTCACAGCAACCACTTGGCAAGACACAGGATAGGCGGCCCATCTTACACCAACATCCACATACACCCCCATTGAATACACACTCCCACCATGCCATGTACACTGGCATGGTGAACTGACACACATATACAATCTGCACACACATGCAACACCCACATGCCTCTTTTGGGCCCGTGGGTTATGGTGAGAGCCCCAGCACTGGAAAGGGTTGGATGGGACATGATCATGACGATGGTTACAATCACTTCCCCCTCCCCTCCAAAATGGGGACAGTGAGCCCCGTGAGAACATGAAATGATGGGGGTGATATCCAAATCTTTTTTTTTTTTAAGTAAGAGTCTCACTCTGTCACCCAGAATGGAGTGCAGTGGCACACTGCTCACAGCCACCACAGCCTCGGCCTGCTGGGCTCAGGCAATTCTTCCACCTCAGCCTTCCAAATAGCTGGAACCACAGGTGCATGCCACCATGCTCAGCTAATTTTTAAAAATGTATTGTAGAGACAAGGTCTCAAACCCCTGAGCTCAGGCAATCCTCTCATCTCCGCCTCCCAAGGTGTCGGGCTTACAGGTGTGGGCCACCGTGCTCGGCCGATATCCAAATCTTTAACCACTTGGTGAGGTCCAGACATCATCAAGAGAAAGGACAACATGCAGAGATGCTAGTGTTCCCTGTAGGCTGGGTAAAACCCTTGAGTTCTGGATTGTGGGGAGCGGAAGGGGACAGGGGAGTGGCAGAGGATGGTGATGCCCCTTCACTGAGCCTCCTATGGGGCATGGCTGCCTCCATGTGCCCCCTTGCTCTCAGCCCTCTTCAGGCTGAGCCCTGAGTCTGGCCTGCCAGCCCAGAACCCTAAAAGGCTATGGATAGGCTCCGGTTACCCCGTGAGGAGGGCTAGCCATCCTGCCTGAGGCTGGATGCAGAGCAGTGGGGACAGGCGCAGAGCAGTCTTCTCCTCCCTCCCCTGGGGTTGAGGCTGGAACGTCAGGACCTGCAGAGACAGACACCAGAAGACCCGCTGCACAGACGCACACAGCCCTCGGGGACTCGTAAAGTGGATTCCAGGCGCTCTTGGCCTGGCTACCGCAAGCCCTGCTCCCCCAGGGCCAGCATGGGGAGTTATGCTGAGGAGGATCTGCCTGGCCCGGGGCCTGCCTCCTTGGGAAAACAGAACCATATTAGCACTTGGCCTGGGAGGCTGGGGTAGGCGGGCAGCAGGGAGGGCCCTGGATGCCGGAGAAATGAGCCCCTCTCCACTGATCTCAGGGCGCCCCAAACCCAGGCACCTGTCCTCCACTGCCCATGTCCACTGGCTCCTGCCAGGGCTGGGGACCTCACCTAGGCAGGAGGAGCACCAGAGAGGGACATGTCATGGCAGGGTGGCCTGGGGTGCACACTCCAGATGCAGTAGCCCAGCCTGGTGGTCAGGGATGCTGCACCAGCAGTGCCTCCCTCACTGTGTATACTTGTCCCAGTCGCTCCAGCCATGCTTGATGCCGCCAGCCTCTGCGGACCGGGTGGGGGGGCAGCTCTTTGATCCTTGTGGCTGGACCTTGAAGCTATGGTCACCTGCCGCCCTGGCTTCTGGGGCCAGGGGAAGAACTGGATCTGCTCTGGGCTGCCGGGCATGGGTCCCCTTCCCTGTGCAACCATCTGAGGGCATGTGCAGCCCCCATGTGTCTTCCAAGAGGCCTCACCACCTTTGGAAAAAGGTCCCTTCTATGACTGTCACTCTCTCCAGCATCCCTCTCCCTTCCACAGCCTCTAGAATAGCCCACAAGCTGCTCCCTCAGCCTGGACCCTGGGCTTGTAAGGAAGTGAATCTGGGCTACAAGTCAGGCTTCCTCGATTCAACACCCACCTGTGCCACTTTCTGGCTATAAGACCTTGGGCCAATGACTTCCCCGCTCTGGCCTCAGTTTCTTCATCTTTGTACCTGGGGTTACCTTGGCAACTGTCCCACAGGACAGCTGTTGGGATGCAGGGGTGACACAGGTAAGCCCTGGGAGCAGAATCTGGCACAGGTGGTCCTTGAACATCACCTCTGCAGGCTGCCTCCAGGAAGCCTTCTCCAACTACCCCCATACCCGTTTTTCCTTGTGACTGTTGTCAACACCTAATCAGATGTATGTCTGGTTCATCTGTGTCCTGTGCACCCTGAATGCTTATTGGGTGAATAAAATATCACACAGTTTGAAAGGCTGGACAAATGGGCCACCAAACTGCCTCTGAACACCTCAGCCGCAGTTCCTTCCTCTTCCTTCTGGCCCCTGGTCAGACGCAGAAGCCAAGAGAACACAGACAGTCAGGAATCACTTTTTATTTAAAAGCTTGTGATCAACAGGTGTCCCCGACCCAGCCCCTGCCTCCTCTTACAATGTCAGTGGGGGAGCCAGCACCCTGCCAGGGTCCAGCTGAGGGACCTGGGGACCGTGGCTCTGAATCCTAGGTCATGGGCCTTGGAAGGGTGGGGAGGAGGGAGGAAGTCCAGTTCAAAGGGGTGTAGTGCTGGTGAGGTAGCTGGTCCTGCCTAGCCTCTGTGGGATCCCCTTGCCCAGGATGTCAGATAACTGCCCCCAGGAGGAGTCAGGCCCCAAAGCCAGGGGTCAAGGGCTGGAAAAGGGAGCAAGGAAAAGGCTTCGGAGCTATGTGAGGCCAGTCCAGGTCCCTTGGGCCAAGCAACTCAACACCACTACGTGTCTATGAGCACACACCCATGGGCCACCTGTAAGCAACACACACGCACAGGCATTCTACACCCACTCCACACACACACACACGGAGGCCTGTGACTGCCCCAGACCCACCCCCAGGCCCCTGGAATGTCTCTGGATCAGTACCCAGCGGGTGGGTCTGGGCAGGCAGGGCTGCCCAAGAGGTGGGTCTCCTGTGTTGCTACTGATTGGCTGCCTCACAGGCATCTATCCAGTCGCTGTACACATCCACGGGTTCTGACAGATCTGAGCCGCTCAGGTCAAGGGCAACTGGTGGCACCGGACCCCTGCCCTGCACCTCATCACCCCACGTAAATTGCAGGTGGCACCTGTTTCTCAGCAGCGACCCTGCACCAGGTCTCCCAGCTGAGCCAGAGCAGGAGCTGGAGACAAGCCCCTCACCTTACCCAGGTGCCGACAGGAGCTCACCCTGGGCAGGGCAGTCCGCCCACCCCCTCAACAAAGCCCAGTTTTCAAGGATACATGTGATAGGTGTCTGGAATTCCTCTAGGCACACGGTACAAGAGATGACTCCGGTGTTGCGGGCACGGTCCCTGGAAGGGGACAAGGGTAAGTGACTGGTGAGCCATGAGCCCTGGGCCCATGGGTGGCACCCAGCCAGGGAGGCGAGGGGTAGAACGGAGGCCAGCGGGGAGGAGGGAGGCCTGGGTACCCATGAGGCGGGACCCCTTGCCCAGCCCACTCACATTTTCACATCACAGGACTTCTCATGGTTGCAGAAGGGGCAGGTGAACTGGGTCTCGAGGGTGCCCGTCATCTTCTTCTTGGGGGGTGGCTTCCGTTTTGACTTTCTGCGTCCCATGTCTGTAGGCGGGAGGACCTGTTTGTGTGAGGCAGAAGTCAGAGGCCCTAGGAAGTTGGCCGGGAAGAGAGCTGGCAGCAGACTACAGTGAAGCGGGGACGTGAACTATGATGCCAACACCTCTGCCTCCAAAGGACGAGGTTCGCGGTCTCTGGGCAGGAGGATGACCTCGACGTACTCTGGTCGGGAGGGTGAGTACAGGCTCTAACCTTGACTCCCAAATCACTGTTACTGTGGGGCCCGGGCAGGTTACTCAAGTTCTCTGTGCCTATTTCCTTGTCTATAAAATAGAGGTGAGGCTAAGTCTTGTGGGGCTGATGTGCAGAATGGCATGTCAAGGGCTACACACGGGGCCTGGCCCCGCCCTCGACTGCACCTACACCTGGAAACCCGCATTCCCGGGGAGGGGGACACGAGAGGCTAGGCTAGTAGTAGGCAGTAGTGCAGCACTGGGCAGAGCCTAAGTGCTTGGGAGCTGGTAGCTTTATTCTGGCTGCTCCTCTCATCAAGGCACATGCAAGTGTCACACAAGCAAGTGCCACACAGGAGTGTCAGTCAGGGTATCTGACAGCTCCAGGTGGGCCCACTAAGCTGCCTCTCTGCAGATGACAGACTGCAGGGCAGAGAAGCGGGGACAGGTGTTTCAAGTTGAGGGGCACTGCGTGCAAAGGGCCAGAGCAGGCATCTGTCCCCAGCAGGTGGGGGAGAGAGCGGGCAAAAGCGGGAAGATTCCAGAAGTTTGGATGGAGCCTGACAGTCGAAAGAGCAAAAGGACAAACCACCGCGTGCTTTTGGGGGACGGAGACATGAAGTCAAAACCTGGATGAAGATGAAGGCAGAGCCAGGACAGGCTGCTGGGCGGAGAGATGACAGCGGGCGGAAGAAAGAGAGACAGGTCAACGTCGCATCTGAGGGTGAAGGGAGGAGGGCCCAGGACGACGCCCAAGATGGTGGTGGGGACACAGCTGGTGGCAGGGGCAGCATCATTTTCTGATGTCTCACTCACAGGAAGGGTAGTGCTGGGGAAAATTATGGGGTCAAGTGGTGGAGGGACATCCAGGGGCCGGTGTCCTGGAGGCAGCTGGATAGGGAAGCAGCGGCAGCTCCTACAACAGGCCTGTGTTCCCTGATTCTCCCAGGGTACCACCTCCGCCAGCACACATATCTCCACTGGTTCCAGCATCGCTCCTCCAGGATGGGAGGTCAGCTGCCTTGCCAGGGTCTCCAGAACAAGAAATGGAGTTTCACCTATGATCTGGTGATCACTCCCCATGTAACGCCCTCCATCTTTTTTTTTTTTTTTTTTTGAGTTGGAGTCTCACTCTGTCTCCCAGACTGGAGTGCAGTGGCCGCTCCCGGCCACCGCAGCCTGGACATGCTGGGCTCCAGCGATCCTTCCGCCTCAGCCTTCCAAGTAGCTGGAACTACAGGCGCGTGCTTCCACGGTCCGGCTAATTTTTTTATTTATTGTAGAGATGAGGTCTCGCCAAGTTGTCCAGGCAGGTCTTGAACCCGTGGGCTCAGGCATACACCCTCACTCTTACCTGCAGGTGCTTCCAATTATTCCAAGTCACAAGAGCAATCAGAAGAAAACTCCTAGGACCACCCATTTGGCCTGCCCTCTTTTACTATGGAAGTATGCCTGCGTTCCTGCCAAAACAATTTGTTTACTTTGATTTGGCTTCCACCTCATTATCTTTCAGCAACCTGAAATTTTTCAGCTCTCCTGGATCACTGACTCCCTTGTTATAACCTCTCTCATTATTTAAAAGAAAAAAAACAGGTGGGCACGGTGGCTCATGCCTATAATCCCAGCTACTTGAAAGGCTGAGGTGGATGGATCACTTGAAGCCAAGACTTCAAGACCAGCCTGGGCAACAGAATGAAATCCCATCTCTACAAAAAACAAAAAGAAAATAGCTGGGCATGGTAGCACTTGAGCCCCGGAGTTCAAGGCTACAGTTAGCTGTGATTATACCACTGCACTCCAGTCTGAGTGACAAGACCCCTCCTCTAAAGAAAAATTAATAAACAGACTGGAAAAAAAAAACAAAACCCTCTTTTTTTTTTTTTTGAGTTGGAGTCTCACTCGGTCGCCCAGACTGGAGTGCAGTGGCCGCTCCCGGTCACTGCAGCCTCCCCTGCTGGGCTCCGGTGATCCTTCTGCCTCAGCCTTCCGAGTAGCTGAAATTACAGGCATGCGCTACCACGCCTGGTTGATTTTTTTATTTTTATTGTAGAGATGAGGTCTCACTGCCCAGGTGGGTCTCGAACCCGTGGGCTCAGGCAATCCACTCACCTCAGCCTCCCAAAGGCGCGGGTTACAGGCTGAGCCACCGAGCCCGGCACAAATCCTTCTTTACCCTCTTCTAGCTACCACTTGTTTCTCTGTGGGCTTTTCTAGTGTAGAGCTGTCTGCATTCCCTCCTATGTGCTCTCCACCCCTCGCCCCCAACTAAAGTCACTAGTGGCTCTAAACTGCCCACCCCAACAGCAGCAGCAGCAGTCCCCCTACCCCATCCTTCCTGTGTGGTTCTCAGGGAAAGCGCTCCCGGACCCCGCAGGTGGCTTCTATGAACTTCCTCCCCTCCTGTTCCTCCAACTCCAGTTCTGATGATGAGAGCCCAGGAACTCAGTCTCCGGGCCTGTCCCCTCTCCACTAGGCTCACCTCCTGGGGATGTCCTTCGGCCTTAGGGCTTCGTGACATTTATACACTGATAACTTCTGCCTCTCCAGCCCCAACATCTGCCCTAAACTTCAGGTGCACTGCTCTCCCGGTCTCATACACTGCCACCTGATGTCTAACAAATGTTGAAACATAATCCATCCAAAACCCAGCTCTGGACACCCCAACCTGCTCTTACGCAGCTTCCCCATTTCAGCCAACAGCAACTCCACCTTTCCAGGCAATCAGACCAAAAAGCTCAGACTCATCTTCAAAGCCTTCTCTCTCTCACATCCCTTATCTGAGCCTACCCCTGCCCCACTACCTCTGAAACACAGCAAGAATCTATCCACTTCTCACCACCTCCAGGGCCAGCACCATGGTCTGAGTCACGGTCACTTCAGCCTCATCAATGGTCTCCCTTCACCTCCAAATACACCCCCTCCCCAAAATATAAACACCAGGATGGCAGGTGTTTTTGTCTTTTCTTTGTATCCCCAGAACCTAGAACTGTTCATGGCACAAAGTTGGCACTCTAATATTTATTGAAATAATTAATGGCGTGAACAAATTACAGGTCCTTTGTTGGTTGATAACGCTGCAATAATGAGGTGTCTGTTTCTGGGGTACTTAATTTCCAGTGGAGGATGACAGACTCTTAACAGACAAAAAAATAAGCAAAATGACTTCAAATATTCCTTAGTACAACAAGGTTAATAAAACAATGCTGGCCAGGCAAGGTGCTCACGCCTGTAATCCTAGCACTTTGGGAGGTCAAGGCAGGAGGATCGCTTGAGCCCGAGGCCAGTCTGGGCAACATAGTAAGACCTCTGCCTCTACAAACAAAACAAAACATATATAAAGAAAAAAATAAAACAGCGTTAAGTGAACATTTCAGAGCAGGGATACCTCAAACAAGGGGGAGTGGGAAAGACCCTTTCTGGGTGTCATTTAAGTTGAAGCCTGAGTAAAAGCTCCAAGGCAAAATAAACTTTTTAAAAAAAAGAGCAGACTGGTGTGGCTGCAACTCAATGGTCAGTGGGGAAAGAGATGCAAGAAAAGAGGACAGCGTGGGCAAAGGCCCCAGAGACTCCAAGGCTTGAAGGAAGTGAGGTGCAGCCTGGTGTGTAGCCCATGCTCCCACCTGTCAGGACAGCAGCCCCTCCCAGAGCCTCCCAAAACGCGTCCCACGACCACCTGCAAAATAATCACCTGGAGGTGGAGTGGGGGGAGATGCCCAAGAAACGCAGATCTCTAACCTAACTCCAGACCTCCCCACAACAGAATGTCGGTTCTGCGGCGACATGTCTTGTCCGCTGCTGAATCCCTTGCATGGTATACGTTAAGCGCTTAATAACTATCTGCTGAATGAATACATGTCTCCTGCATCGGAATCCACGGATGCACCCCAGCATCTCATTTCACCGGGTGACCACAGGACTCTCCTCCGTCCCCAGGAACGGGGTCTGGCTTGCACAAAGACTGCAGAGGCCTCGGTGCGTCCTGGGGCGATCTAAGTCCAAGCACATCAAGGGGAGGCCGCAGAAGGGGCCATCCCCCAAACCTGCTGGGACCCAAGAGCCAGCGTGAGGGCAGTTCCTGCATGCTCACCGAGGCTTCGGCGTCACCTTCCGACGGAGCCAGACGCCCGAGCAGCCTCGCTCAGCGGGCTGCGGCCCGGGGGAGCCAGTCCCCCCGACTGGCCGCCCCCCAAGACCGGGGCCCCGGCGCCCCCACCAGGACCCCGTGGGCGCCCCGAGTGGAAGAGCGCCCGGTCCGGCCCAGTCCCCAACGCCCGCTCGCGCGAACCGTCACCTGCACTCGCAGTCCCTCGTCGCAAAAGTCCCGTTCACCTAGGAGATAGCGACTTCCGGCTCCCGGCGGAAGCGGAAGCCCGCCTCCTCCGTCTGGTCCCGCCCACCCCCCCGCCAGAACCGCCCGGCGGGCAGGCCCCGCCTCCTTTGCTACTGCTCTGCGCGCACTGGTGCTTAAATCCGAGCGCGGCGGCGGAGCCACAGAGCACCTGTGCTGGGGCGTTTAGCGTCTTACCTGTCTCTGCGCCCAAGGCAGTCGAGTGCTGCTTCTGGCCGGTTCCTAGCTGTGGGCCTTCCTGCGCTGCAGCAGCGGTGGGCAGGATCGTAGCAGCGCTGAAAGGCGGCCTCGCGCTCGGCGGCAACATCTTCCTGGGGATGCCTCACTTGTCTTCTCTCCCAGGTCCAGCCCCAGGCCCTCGCAGCCCACCTGTGTCTCCCTCATCTGTTCATTCAAATAGCCCGGCAGTGAGGAATGTGAAAGCCCTTATGGCTGAATCAGAGTGGGGGGAAGCTGGTAAGCGTGTAAGATGCTCTCCTCAAACTCCGGCTAGCACCTGCGGATCTTTTTAAAATTCAACTTCTGATTTTTTTTCTCTTTTTCTTCAGGAGGGAAACCTGAGAGCTCGCTTCCCGTGAGGTCCATGCGGTGGGTCTGCGGACCACACTTTGAGTACCCAGGTTATAATCCATGAGGTTGGATGAGCTGGCAGGAGCCAGATCACCTGGGGTCTGGCAGGCCGTGTGATGGACTTTCATTGGATTTTGAGCAGATAAGCGATGTTTGGTTTGGAGTTGAAGAAGCCCGCTCTGCTGTTGGGTAGAGAATAGGTGGTAGAGTAGAGGGAGCTGGGAAACCAAATTGAAAGTCGTAACAGGCCGGGCGCCATGGCTCATGCCTGTAATCCCAGCACTTTGGGAGGTGGAGGTGAGAGGATTGCCTGAGCCCGGGGTTCGAGACCAGTCTGGGCAACATGGCGAGACCTCATCTCTACAATAAATCAAAAATTAGCCCGGTGGGGTGGCTGGCGCCTGTAGTTCCAGCTACTTGGGAGGCTGAGGCGGAAGGATCGCCTGAATCCAGCAGCTTGAGGCTGCAGCAGCTGTGAGCGTCCTACTGCACCCCAACCTGAGCGACAGAGTGAGACCCTAAATCTAATAATAATAATAAAGAAATAAAGCCATAACAGTAGTTGGGTAAGAAGTGGTGCCAGCTAGCTGGGTGTGGTGGCTCATGCCTGTAATTTCAGCACTTTGGGAGACAGAGGGGAGAGGATTCCCTGAGTCCAGGGGTTGGAGACCAGCCTGGGCAACTTGATGAGACCTTGTGTCTACAATAAAAATAAAATTAGGGGGGCACACCTCATCAACAAGGGTACCTGCACAATGCGTATTTGTATACCTAACCCATAACTGTTCCTCACAATTTTTAAATTAAAAAAAAAATTTTGTTTCAGGCCAGTAAGTGACTTGCCAGAGCTTGGCATCCTTGAAGCTCATGATAAAGGTATAGCTTTCAGTTAAGATTTGTGGTCCACATGGCTAACCTCAGACTTGATCTTTAAACAACTTGAAATATGACAAATGAACTTTGACGGAAATATATTTAATGGCTAGTTTGCTGACATTCACAAGTAAAGCAGAGAAAACTGCTAGTTTTCAGAAAACCTAATTTGCATGTGGCTCTCCCTTCTCTGGAGCTGCCTCAAGGGCTCTGTTCTGAAAGGGCCCTGCTGGATGGACCCTGCTCCCACACCTGGACTATGTACCCTCTCCTGGAGACCTTGACCCAGCTCTCCGGAGCCAGCACAACAGGGCAGAGGAGTCTAAGACTCACTTGTTAAAATGCACTGTTTGTAACTGCTGAGATAAATATTTACTTCCTTTAAACTTTACTTGTGTTAGACAATTTTTATTCAAGAAATGGAAAAAAAATCTGCTCAGCAGAAATATACTGAGGTTTCTGTTAAATGTCCAAAGCCTAACATTTGGAAGAAAAAGGAAAAAGCAAATAAACAAACAAAACCTCTATATAATGAAAAAATAAATAAAATAAAATAAAACTAGCTGGCTGTGGTGACGTGTGTCTGTGGTTCCAGCTACTTGGAAGACTGAGGCTGAAGGATCACCTGAGCCCAGCAGGTTGAGGCTGCTGGGCCGTTAGCGACTGCAGGCCATGCTGTGGTGGTCATGAGTGTGCTCCTGCACTCCAGACTGTGCAACAGGGTGAGATGCTAACTCAAAAAAAAAAAAAAAAGAAGAAGAAGAAGAAGAAAAAGAAAAAGGAAGTGGTGCCAGCTTAGGCTTGAGTAGTCTTATTGGATGTGAACATGAGTTTAGATATCTAGAAGTCTAGATGTAGCTTGGTGTGATGGCTCATGCCTGTAATCCCAGTATTTTGGGAGACCGAGGAAGTTGGATTTCTTGAGCTCAGGAGTTCAAGCCTAGATTGAACAGCATAGCAAGACTCCCCTCTCTACAAAAAATTTTAAAAGCTAGCCAGGTGTGGCATGTGCCTGTGGTCCCAGCTACTTGGGAGGTTAAGGAGGGAAGATCACTTGAGGTCATGGGTTCAAGGCTGCATGAGCCAAGATTGTACCACTGCACTCCAGCCTGGGTGAGAGTGAGACCCTGACTCAAACACAAAACAAAACCCTGAAGCTTGAGTAGGAGTTAAAAAAGACAAAGGTAGCGCTTATACAATTTAGGATGGCATGAAAGAGAAAGAAGAGTCAAGGATGAATCCTGTTGTCTAGAACCCCTGGGTGCTACCTCCTCCTCAGAGGAGGATTAGGGTAGATGATGGGGTGGAGGGAGCCAAGGGTTATGTCTTGTGTTTGATCATGATGTGTTCGAGCAAAACAAGGGAGGTGTTTAGCAGGCCATTGGACCTGGGAGTCTGGAGCTTGGGAGAAAGATCTGGATACAATTCTGAGAGCCATTATTATATGGTGGTTAATTGAAGCCTTGGGGCCAGAGGAGTTCACCTGGTTTCAGCGTGAGGGGCAAAGTATAGCAGAAAAGGGCTCAAAGGCTGTCCATCCCTGAGGGTAGCTGTCCATCCCGGAAAGGGTAGCTCAAAGGCTGTCCATCCCGGAAAGGGTAGGCCAGTGAGGTAGGAGGAGAAGGAGGTGGGTGTTTCTCTCATGGAAGAAAGTATTTCAAGTTGGGGAGGACCAAATGTGGTGGCTCATTCCTGTAATCCCAGCACTTTGGGAGGCCGAGGTGGGAGGATGGCCAGGAGTTTGAGACCAGTCTGGGCAACATAGTGAGACCTGGTTTTTAACAACAATAACAAAAGCTGGAGAAAGTGGTAGCTGTGTCTTGTGTTCCTGAGAATTTGAGGAAGATGAGGAAAGAGAATTGACAGTTGAGTTTGGCAAGTGTTTGGTCACTGGGGATCTTGATAAGAGATGTTTCATTAGAGTGTTCAGGAAAATAACCTGTGATGAAATATTTTTCAAATGCAGATGATTCTTGCCTCACCATGGGGTTACATCCCGATAAATCCATCATAAAGTCAAAAAATCTTAAGTAGGTCCATCCTTAGTCAGGGATTGCCTGTGGCGGGATCTCCGAGATGTCCCCCAGGGGGCAGTGTTACCCTTGGAACTGCCAAGTGTAACCACTGGAACTGTCTTTATGGAAGACCTTTTTCAGTGTTGGTACACACTGGAAAGACACACAAGATGGGATCACACTCTACCTGGTACCATGCAACTATTTCCACGCTAAGTTTGGGAAGAAGTGGTGAGATTGCCTTAGCTTGGGGGTTTGAGATCAGCAACTTGGTGAAAACTCGTTTGCACAAAAAAATTTTTTTAATTAGCCAAGTGTGGTGATGCATGCCTATAGCTCCAGCTACTTGGAAGCCTGAGGTGGAAGGACAGCATGAGCCCAGCAGGTTGACACTGTGGTAGCCATGATTGTGCCACTGCACTCCAGCCTGGGTGACAGAGTGAGACTCTGACTAAAAAAATAAAAATAAAAATAAAGGCCAGGTGCAGTGGTACATGGCTGTAGTCCTAGTTACTCAAAAAGGCAAAGGTGGGAGGATCACTTTAGCCTAGGAGTTAGAGGTTGCAGTGAACTACGATCATACCACTATACTCCAGCCTGAGTGACAGGTTAAAAGCTTGACTCTAAAACATAAAGGAAAAAAAAAGAAGAAAAGAGGTCGAGTGCCCTTTTTGTACCTGCTGTTTTTCAAATGCGTTTAGCTCAAAATAACCTTTATGCCAAAATAGCATATTTTTGAGTTCTGCTACCCTTCACCTGAGTGAAATAGCTCACAGCAGCTCTAATCACAAATGCCCCAAACTGGAAACAGTGTAACAACAGGTTACCAACAGTTAAAAAAATAAACTAAGTGTGGTCCATCCCTACAACAGAATACAATCTGTAATAAAAAGAAACAAACTAGCCGGCCTGGGTGGCTCAGCCTGTAATCCCACGCCTTGGGAAGCTGAGGTGAGTGGATTGCCTGAGCCCGTGGGTTCGAGACACCCCTGGGCAACTTGGCGAGACCTCATCTCTACAATACATTAAAAAAAAAAAAAATTAGCTGGGCATGGTAGCGCGCGCCTGTAGTTCCAGCTACTTGGAAGGCTGAGGTGGAAGGATCGCCGGAGCCCAGCAGGTCGAGGCTGCGGTGGCCGGGAGGGGCCACTGCACTCCAGTCTGGGCGACAGAGTGAGACTCCAACTCAAAAAAAAAAAAAAAGAAAGAAAGAAACTAAATAAATAAAGAAGAAAAACAAACAAAGAAACAAACTGCTGATCCATACAACAGGGATAAGTTTGAAATATCGTAGGCTGAGTGACAGAAGCCAAATTAAAAAGGAAACACATTGTACGATTCTGTTTATTCCACTTCCTGAAAAACACAAAGCCCGTAGAAACAAAAAACAATTCAGTTGGGGCCAGGGGCTCAGGGTAAGAATGGAGCACAAAGGGGCAATGTC